TATATCACAGTCTACTAAAAATCTAATTTTAATCTCCATCAAACACCCTCTAAATGTCAATATTAAATCTATAAGTTGAAGAAAAGTTTTTTCTTAATTTGTCAATTGAAATGCAGATACAATCAAATCATATGATAATTTGATGTGGCGAAGAAGGAATCCGATGGTCCTAAGTGGTGGTACCAAGTATGGGCCTGATATTATTTTATTTTTATATTAAAAAAATTAAAAATAAAATCATAAAATATGATTAGGAAAGATATTTAAATATCCTTCTTAATTATATTATGATTTTTCTTGTGGTGTCAATATCTTTCGTGTGTGTGTGTGTGTATATATATATATATATATATATTCATACTTGAGATATTAACACTACAGATTTGCAATAAAAATGCAGTATAGAACTAAATTATGATCATTAATTGAATAATGTTAGTTCACAAAAACAACCTAATCTAATAATTATATGAATAAGCCCCTGTCTGTTATCTATTTTATCAAACATTGCTTGCTACAGTAAACAATCTCCACCACATAATCACTCAATAAAATATTCTACACACAAACCAATAAAATTACTTTACTTTTCAACCACACATTCTCCAAAAAATACTATTCAAAACTTTATTTCTTCTCCCAAAATGAGAGACAAACAAGCGCTAATATGTATACAAAATGGTTAGAATAGTTATGCAAATGCTAAATAAATTTCACTAGCTTTTCGACCGCCATCCTTGCTTCCCTTGAGGTACCAAGTACGAGCAGTTTCGTCGCCAAACTAATTTTTTTTGGAGTAAGTTTTAATAAAACATACAAATTACTTTTGTAATGATAAAAAATAAAATGTGATGAGAATTTTTTGAAAACAAAGGAGCTAATTTATATGAGATCATGGGAATGAGAGATGCATTTTCCAAATAGAATATAACAAAAAAATGCTAATAAAAATACATTAATTTAAAAAAAAACACTAATCCCATAAAAATGATGATGTTATTAATTCTAATTCTAATTAATTAAACCCGAGGGTCCATCCACCTCACCCTTTCGATATAGAGTAATGCTATTCATCCTCACTGGGATTACAAATACAGTCTAGGTGACGTTAATGTGACATTAAATGATAGGTGAAATTAAATAAGTCATTTAATTTCACCTTTCATTTAACATATCATTTAGAGCCACATAGACTGTTTTTGTAACCCCATTGGGGATGAATAACATTACTCTTAAATATGCATGCTACCTATATAAATTGAGATCCTCAACTAGTTTAATTAGCTCCAATTATATGTATACAATCACAAGAATTAAGTAAAAAGACTAAAAGAATATGCACATAATTTTAGAATCATATATGCAAAAATTGTATCCCTATGCAGAAATCAAATGGAAATTAATGTTGAGGTACAAAAATTGAATAGAACAAAGTTTTGAAGTAAAAGACAACATTGTCTGCCGGTAATAATATGACCTATATTTAGTACTTTTTCTCATATGATCAATATATAGTTCCCAGCAAGGCAAGTCATATCGAATCGAGTTTCAGATTTTTTTTTTTTTTTTTTAAATCTGCAAGATAAATTTACTGTCATGTGATCAAATCAACTAGTTAAGAAGGGCCTAATTCAAGTACTATTTCATAGATGTGAAAAATTTCCTCATCTTGTGGAAGAGACAAAGGAGCATTTTTA